CTAAAGACATGCACCACCACTGCCTAGCCAGAAGGCTTTCAACTTGCCCATGCATTCCTGAATCCAGAATAGGCAGGGAAATTTTCGATGGAAAGCCAGGGATGCATCCAGTCCTGCTAAAAGAAGAGGGAAAAGAAATTAGACACTGGAAGGTTGGACCATAGAAAGAAGTTCACATATGGAACTTAATTTCCTGTGACAAAGGGACTCTGATTTCACATAGTACCTTTGGGACAGTTAATCATAATTTAGATATAGCTGCATATTTGATGGCTTCCGTGTGCCATAGAGTTGGTGGTGGGATGCAACTGGCTTCACTGTGGCGAGGAGATTCCCAGACTGTCAGCAAGCTCATATTTTGCTTCCAAATTCATGGCTACTTAGGCAAGTGACATTAACGAAACAATCTATTTACTATAGGACTCAGTTTGTGTGTGTGTGGGTGTGAGAGAGAGAGAGAAAGAGAGAGTGCTCATGTGCATGCATGCATGTGTATGTTTGCATGTGTATTACTTGTGTGTGGAGGCCAGAAGTTGACAGTTGTCTTTGTCAATTGCTTTTTGCCATATTTTTTGAGACAGGATCTATCAACAAACCTGGAGCTTGCCAATTTGATTAGACTGGGCCAGCCAGACCCAAGAGTCCTCCCGGGTCTGCTTCTGGGGTGCTGGGATCATATTCACCCACCCCCTTTCTGTTTTTATGAGACAGGGTCCCACTCTAGTGCAGGCTTAGAACTCCACAGCTCAGCCTATCCTCCGGCTCTTGGTGATTCTCCTGCCTTCTCCTTAGTGCTGGGATTAGAGGAGTGAAGTGCCACTCCTGGTTTAGGTGGATAGATAAGCTATGGTAGTCTGTATTCAGTGATATTTTACATACTTATTTTATAATGACCCTCAATAAGAGACAGATTCTATTCTTATTTTTAAAGTAGTATCTTTGCTATGTAGCCCAAAGCCATGATTCTTCTACTTCTGGTCTCCTGCGTGCTGGGAGTATAGATGTATATACCATCATGCTCTGCAAGAGCTAAGTTCTATAGTATAACCCAAGCTACACATTTAGATGTAACTACTATCCCTACATTGAGTATGATGTTCTACATAACCCATTTGCATATATAGAAAGTGAAATGAGTTTTAAGAAATACTCCTCCCTCATGCTTTCTTATATTTTCCCTCTATTTCATCAGTAAACTGTTCTTACTGTGCTAACTTTAAGACCCAGCTGCTCCAGCTAGACACAGCCCTGCACACTGAAAGACTGTTCCCTGAAAGGCAGCTAAGTGCACAGGTTAGTGGCTCTTGTTCTGATTGCTGAGGGATAAACAGCAGTGTCAAAATACTGTGACTTAAACCACAGCAAGTTGAATAAGAACCACCTCAGGACAAGCCCTCTTCATAAGGAGTCACATGATTTTATACTGAACTTTGGTTTTCTGGGCTATCTACACAAATTTTTAAAGATTTATTTTTTATGCGTATACTTGTTTTGTCTGCATGGATGTAAGTGCACCATGTGCCTGCCTGGTGTATGATGTTAGAAGAAGGCATCGAATTCCAGAAATTGGAATTATGGATTGTTGCAACTTGCTGTGTGGGTGCTAGGAATCATACCCAGGTCCTTAGCAACAGCAAGTGCTCTTAACATCAGAGCCATCTCTTTAGACCCCCATCCATCTATCCATCCATCCATCCATCCATCCATCCATCCATCCATCCATCCATCCATCCATCCATCTTTCTATTATTTTAAAACTTCCTTCTACCTGCTTGATTTAACTCTTCATCCAAAAGAATCTGACATTTTTGATGAGATCACCTGCCATTTGAGAAATTCCTTAAAAGGCATTTTTTAGTACCTGTTGCAAATGTAACCTCAAAGGGTGCTTGGTCTTGTGTATTGGTGGGGCTGATTGGACAAAAGGGTATACTGCTTGACACATGGCAGCTCCAAATGCCACTAGGGTGAATGGATGTGTTGGAGAGGCGGAAAGAGGAAGGAACTGTGTGGGGTTTTCTGTTTGCTTTCTTTTTTAATTGGGGGGGTTCTTTGGGGAGATGTTGTAGGGCAAGGGATGAATATGGAGGGACTGGGAGGTGGGCAGGATTGGGGTGCATGATATGAAATACCTAAAAGATCAATAAAGAATTACGTTAAAAATACTATTATTAACACAACAAACTTGCAGTGTTTCCTTTCTACTTTCAAAGCTGATCTTAAGGGAAGACATGATGATTCGGATCCTCAAAATCTTCAATGTTTCCACTCTTGCTGATTTGGGTTCAAGACAAGGTATACTAGTATCATGGAGCATTCTTGTCTTTTAGATACTTCTGGGTATGATGAGAAGTTCCCGGTAGTGGGCAATTCATCAGGCTTAAGAGGTCTGCTCTAATTTCCCAAACAGTGATCTCTTTACTTTTTAGCACAGACTTTCAGATGAGCAACAACCACAGGTTCTAATTGAGACTACTTCCAGTGGTTCAGCCATGCAAACAAATAGTATTTCATGTAGTTGAAGGATATTTAAAATTTCTAGTTTACATATTTCCTTACAAAATAATCCCTTTAAGGCAACACTTCTGAATAGATGCTGGCTTCAATAAAAAGGACAAAATTCACACTGTATATTATTAGTTTACAATATGTAACATATACCAACATACAGACTTGATTCCAGGGCTGGGCCTAAGTGGAGGGAGTTGGGCTGTATTGTGTTTTGATCTATTTATTTCTCTTCTCTAACAAGACGTACAGCAGACATAAAAATTCTAAACCACTCAGTTGTGAGAGGATGGTCTCTTGGCTTTGGCTTAGTTCTTTATTTTTTGTTACATCTGATTTTAATATGTCATGTCTTGGCACGTGGACAGAAGAGTCAGGTATATTTTGATGCTGTAAACTGAACGCTGGGGAGAATTTCAGTCCTGAGCTACATGCTGGTCTTTTGACCATTATTTTGAAATGAGGGAATCTTAGCAACTGACAATTTTAAATATCTTCAAAATATGTTTCTGACTAAAAAATTTGAAAATTAGTCTACACTCATAACACACTGGTTCTGCTATTTAAAAAAAAAAAAAAGCCAGTAAATTGCTTGTTGGTTTCACATTCATGGTTTGAGGACCTCTATCTGCCCTTCCCACCAACCAGCATTTATTTTTTTTAACAGCATGAACTAATCCTTCTAATGCATGTTGCATTGGTGAAGAGTTATTTCTTTTTTTGCTGAAAAACAAAACAAAGCAACACTTTCAAGATATATCCAAGTTAGTTTGCTTCCTTACATCCCAGGTAAGCACACTGTACCACGCCTTGGGCTTTCAAAAATATCATCCATGCTGATCCAAATCAAACAGGCCTTCAGCATCTGACAATGACGTCTTCATTGAGTGCGCACGGCTAAGCCTCCACTCCTTGTTTGCTCTGCAGTGCTGTGCCAAAATCTTGGCTTTTAATGTTCCCAGCATCCTTGGAAGCATCACTTGTTTGGCATATAAGCTTAAGAGTGATTTTGCATAAAAAAAAATGAGAATAAATGAAAATCGTGTGAATCTCTTAGGGGTCTGTCTGGAATTACTTTCTTTACCTAGCCATAGCATTTGAGTAGTTCAGAATCTTATTACCCTATGATAGTGCATCTGTGAAGTTATATCAGAAATAAAACAAAAGGATTTGCTGTAATAGGATTCATTTTTTAACCTTTGAGATTGAAATTTTTTCCTGAATATTGAAAGCACTCATTTTAACTGCTGACGGATATTATTGGGAAGTATGATTAAGGAGTCACAATGTTTAACTTTTAATATGTAAATTTAGAAATCTACTCTTCATATCCTAATCTGACGATACCAAGTTATCAGCAGAGTATAATAACCTATCCTCCCAAAACTGGCTTTAATTAAATCTCTTAATGGCTAAACATTACAGCTTCATCATCAGAAACACTGAGACTATGAGCAAAGCAACACAAATTCTGTTGCATGCTTTCAAATACATTAGTAATAATTTTATTTTGGCTACACTTTGAGCAACAGAAATTATGTATGTATGTATGTATGTATGTATGCATGCATGCATGCATGCATGTATGTATGTATGTATGTATGTATATGGTCCTTAAAAAAACAAAACAAAATCAAGAGGAAATAAAATACCAGGAAGCAGAGAAGGGTGAAAAGTGGGACACACTTGGTGCTTTGATGCTAACATGGAAGCCACAATGTCCTTTCCCTGTGCCCTCTGGTGTGGGCTGGCCTCAGGGCCCAGGCAGCAGGGTACTGCAGTGTGGGGAGAGACAGACAGTTCTGCCGGCTCCCACTTGCTCCTCAGGCTAAACTCCAGGCAGAAGTTGGCTTTGTGGGGTTCCTGTCCATCTGCCAACCCACAGCACTCCAGGGACACTGTGAGGGGGACGCTGGCCAAATCCTGCATGAGAAGTCATCTCCTTCACACCCTCCTCAGTACTGGGGCTGGACTAGAGGAGCCCTGTATCTAATTTTATAATGTTAGGCTCTAGCCCAGGAAAAGAAAGAGGAGCAAGGAAAAGCCACTTGAGCTTCTCTCAGGAGAAAGGAGAGGGTTCTCAGAAGCCACTGACTGGGAAGGAAGGCCAACCAAGCTAACCAACCTTAAATCTTAGATCCACTTGGTATTTTTCATCTGATTGTTTTAAAGAAATTTAAAGAGTTGTGACTTTCTGTGTCACAGGCTACATATCATTGCTTTGTCAGACAGTGGTCTGAAGTCACTGCTGCACAAATACCAAATAACACACTCAGAAGCTGGCAGGCCTGTATGCTGACACATGTTTAAAAGGTAGGTGCCTTCCTTGCCATTCATAAGGCTACTGATAGAATATGTCCCTTTCACTAAGGTTCTGAATACTGCATGAATGTGTAGACTCTTAGGTGAACCATCCTACATGCAACCGGATGCTCAGAAACAAACTTGGTCACCACACATACTCAAGCAATTTTTCCTGAATCAATAAAGACTTTCTTAAGAAATGTTTGAATTTTATTGTCCTCCCAGAACAGTGAAAATCATAATCTTACATATTTTTTCGAATGCATAGACTTAGACAATTTATCGAGGCTTCCTTCAATTTTCACACCACACTGAGCTCCAACAGGTTTTTGTTTTAAGGTAAACCAGGTTTCTGGCTCTTCCCTGTGGAGAAGTTACTTTCAAGTCAGTGAAAGTTCTTGGCCCATGATTAAAGTCTTTGCCAATTAGTACTCAACAACTTCAATTCAGTTTTTTCTGGTTCAAGATGAGCAGGAGCCTAATAAGGCTGTGATAAAAGGGCAAAAGGCACCGAGAGCCAAAAGCGGATTAATGAGCTCCTCCATGTATTTGTCTTCCTAACAGCTGAACTGTTACAACTATTGACACTCTTCAAAAGGTTCCGCTCTGAACCCTGTCCAGGCACTGCAGGCTCCAATGGACATCTTCAAACCCAGAGAATGGAGGGGCAAGAGCTTCCCCTGTGTGATGCCAAAACCAACAAAGCCCCATGGATCAGGTAATGAAACTTCAGCTTTTCCCCCTTTGAGATTTATTTACTGGCAGCTGACAAGGGGCAAATTCAGCTCGAATTGTGCAGTCAAGGCCCTGTCAAGCTTTTAGAGGCACCCTTGTCTTGAAGCACCTTCATGACTGGCATTTCACTCAAAAGCCCTCGGCACTGGTCCTTAACAGCTTATGACATCACAAAGGACACTCCAGACAGATGCCTACATGGCATCCTGCAGCATTTTAAAAGAGAATTAGTGGTTTTAATTATGGTCGTAGTATGAAAGGGAACCATGCAAGCTCCACGGGAGACCTTTGATCAGACCCTTTTGCTAGTACAATGCCACGGAACTGTGACTATTCCTGGTAAGGGGCCTTTTCTTGCTGAATGACTCACCAGTGATCTTTGAATGCAGACAAGCTTCTAGCCCTCCCTCTTCATTAGTGAGCATTTCTATACAGGAGCCTATATAGTGCTTGGAGTCTAGGAGCTATACAATCGGGGGAAAGAATCCCTACAGATTCTGGCCTCTACTTAGGAAGTGCTGAAGGACTCTGAGTGACTTTATTCATTAAAACAGGTTGCTATTAATTAACTGTCATAATAAAATAAAGAACTATTATTATTTGCATTTCTTACTATGTTCCCTTTAGTAATATGTATAAAAGATGCCTGTAACAAAAATGAATTTATTGAACAACCTTCCCACCCCCACTCTTGCCCACACCGCTTTGTGCATGCAGGCAGCCAGCTACCTACTAATTACTGGGTCTAGATCTGTGAATCTAAATAGAAGTAAAACATAAATATGAAATTAATTAAGGACATGTTAAATGCCCTTTCATTTGCCTGTTTCTACAAATGAAATAAGCAAACATGAAATTAGCTTTCCTTTTCAGTGACTGCAGAATGAAGATGATAAAACTCAAAAGTTCAAAAAAGAATCATATACTTGGTGTAAAGTATAAAGTTTCAGACTCTAACAATTATAGTTAACTAGAGAAAAAAGGAATTCTTATGAGGTATACCAAGAATTGTTTTTAGAGACCATCTCACTTGCAGCAAATGGAAAATGCCTTTGGTCTGGAATGAATATTATTTTTTAAAAAAATACCTTTTTAAATGGATGCCAATAATTACAGACCTCAAAAGACTCAGACATGTTTTAGGTTTGTGGAGACAGTTCCTTCTCATCTAGAACCTACAGTTGCTATATAAAGACTGTAGATGTTTCTGAATGCTTCTCAAGGAAATGCTAATTTCTACTGTACACATTATTATACCCAGGAGATAACTGAGATTTCTACTTTTTTGATACAACTTCTTTTCTTGAAGGAAAGCTTTCAGCAACTCTGGAAGCAGAACAGCATGCAGGCTGCCACTGTTTGCTGGCTCAGACCTTTTTTGTATTTCTTAGACTTTGCAGTTCTCTTCTGAGGTGCTTGAGAGCAGCTATAATGTCTGCTCGCTGTGGGTCAGACTGTGCTTTCTGAGTATAGAGACGAAAATGTCTGATGGTTTCAGACAGCAGGACTTCAGGCTTTGCGTCTGTCCCTGGAAGGCGCAGCATCCGCTCGCAGGCGATGGCATAGTTCTTGTGCCAATTCACTGGGTGTTCCTCTCGTAGGTACACTATCTCCTTATAAAGCTGGAAGACAGCAAATGTTGGCATTCCATTGTTACCTTGACAGATTTTCTTGTTTCAAAAACAGAGAACAGAGAGGAATTAATAACACAAGGGGGAAAAAAATCCAAGCAGCCTACAGTAAAAATCTAATCATTGCCAGGCCATGCAGAAAATACAGGGATGCTACGTAATTACTACAGTAGCAGGAGGCAAATGTGCTTCATCTAAAACTGCTTCTGGGGCTTTGGATGCTGCAGGACCTCAAGACACACTGTGTCAGGACAAAGTGCTCTTCCTCCAGAAAGATGTTCTGGGAAAGGATTTAGTTCTAACTGAAGGAAAGCTATTTACTCTACAGGCCAAGTGGCTAAACCTCTAAATTTAGCTGCTGGAAAAAAAAATCTGTCTCTAATAGACAGTGTAGAAAAAGAACTTGGCAGAATTAAACTTCTGTTTCACATTATTGATATGGATTTTTCTCTACATGAAACAACAGTAGTGTTAGCAATGATCTAATCCAGACAATTCCATTGTTAGCAAGTGTATTGGTACAACAGAATCGAGAGATTCCCTAAAAGGGCAATGTTGAGAATCTTCACAACACCCTACAATTTACCATCTTCACAGCCAAAACATGAACCACAGAAACACAGAATTTTTATTTCCCAACTGCAGAGGCAATATTAATTGATACAAGTAGAATTACAACATTTAGTGTGTGTGTGTGTGTGTGTGTGTGTGTGTGTGTGTGTGTGTGTGTGTATGTGCGTGTGTGTGTGTGTGCATGCGTGCCACAGTACACAGTCAGAGGACAATTTCTGGGAGGTGGTTCTCCCCCCACCACTGTGTAGGTTCTGGGCATCAAATTCAGGTCCTCAGGTTTTTTAGCAAGTACCTTTACCTACTGAGCCATCTTACCAGTGGTCCAGAATTTTGATAATGAATTTTCCAGAGGGAACTCAGCAACATTTAACAAATAAACAGGTAAGTGGACACTAGTTTGCACAGAGGAACATGATGCTTCCTTCTTTAGGAACTTCACAGTCATGTTAGCACTGAGTAACTGGAGTGTCCCAGTAGAGTGAGGACAGACACAGGCTAATTATATTATCTTTTCCTATCTCTTCCACAGCAGCCAAATGGATGCCCACTGGAAGACAGAGTCCTTGTCAAGAACTCTACAGCCTGTGACTGTTCCTTGGAGATTTTAAAAAAACCTATCTGTCTTCAAGTTCCTAGTTTCCCCTTAGCACTGGCTACTCACAGCTGACATTTATGTTAGAGTGAGCTTAGACTCAGACTCTCTTAGCTGCCAGACAGAACTCTACATGCTGCCTTCCAAAATCAACTCCCTCACTGTCCTTGAGTGGGGTGCCCTGGACGTCTCTGTCTTTGCCCCTGGGGCTGCCTCCTTATAGCCCAGCCTCCCTCCTGTCACTCTCTTGCTCTACCATCTATTTGGGTAGCTCATCCTGATGTCCCACATGGCACCTCATGACATCTCTCCCTGGCATAGGGTCAGCTCCCTGGGACCCATGGCATTTCTGTCAGCACATATAAGACTATGTGTGACTATGGAGTGGATCATCCTCAACATCCTTTCTGTAGCCTGCTACCTTTGTGACAGCCGAGACAAGTCCATATGTAACACAATATATGGTATCGAGCAGAAGAAGGAATAAAAGTGAGTTAATGTTCAAAAGTTAGGAGCAAAATAAGCCATGCCAATTGGATCCCATGCTGCTTTAACTCAGCAGCAAGCAAGCTGAGCAGAAGCCTAGTAGTCCAGAGAGGAGGAACTTGGCTGCTCACGTATGCAGGGTCTGAGCTCTGTATGCATGTACCTTACCAGGATATGTTTCTACAAGGCCAACTGGCTATGTCTGCAGTGTTAGAAGAGGCCAGTATTAAAAGTCACAGGAAACTATAGCCTTGTCAAAACAGTGCTACTACAAGCCTCTCTGTGTGCCTTTCCCGAGGAGAGAGCAGCTATGCTGTGGGAAGGTGTTAGGCTTCCCAAGGTTAGGCAAAACACAGACTGGTTCTGTGTCCTCAGTACTCCTATCATTTCCTGAGCAGTCAGGGTTTTGTCCAGAGTGACAAGCAGAACTTGTTTTAGTAAAGCCACATTAGTTTATTCTTGGTGTTGCTATGAAGAGACACAGACCCTGGCTAAAAACAGCCCAGGTGTGAGCACTGGGTGAGCAGCTGACACATCAGCAGGGCTGTAGTCCTGGAGCGCTGCAGAACTTGTCCTAGTTTCCAGAATCTTCTGCAGCTATAACTCACAGCCTTTCTCCATCTCCATGGTCAGTGGATACCATGCAAATCTCTCTCTTTCTGCTCTGCCTTTTATAAGCCCCTGTGATCATACTGGGCCCAACTGGCTAACCCAGGATAAGCTTGATCTCAAGTCCTTTAACTCAAGCATACCCAGAGTGCCTTTTGCCACAGAAGGTAGTGGCACAGGCACTGTGGAATGGGGATGTTATTATGATTACCACGACCCTCTACCTTAAACATTGCTTATGACACAGTTGAAAGTTGAATATTTTATCCAAATATGCTGCTCTATAATGCTCAAGATAAGCTGGACACCAGAGACTAAAACCTCAGTTGCACACCTGTCTCTACTGTAGTCTCTTCCACCTCCCAGGATGCCCTTCAACAAAACAACATACTTTATATGCATGCATGTAGAGTTGTGCTTTCACATCCTGAGGCACCTTGGCAGTCTCTGCCAGGTTAAAGATGAAGAATGGTGTTTTCATCCTGGGAATGGGAGGAAGAACTCTCGTTAGAATCATATTACAGCATAACACCCCTTTTTTGTGCATTCTTTATTCTCCTGTGTGCATGGAAATTTACTCAGCCAACAACAATCCAGAAGCCCCCTAAGGCACAGCGCTCCCACTCAACACCAAAGTCCCCCAAGACACAGCGCTCACACTCAACACCAAAGCCCCCAAGGCACAGCCCTCACTCAACAACCAAACTATAGTACAGCTATTTTGTACTAATTATATTGGAGTTATATTTATTTATTTAAAAAATTACTATTACATTTTATTAGTTTTTTTTTGTGTGTGTGTGTGGTGGTATGACACAGGGTTACATGTACTACAGTGTAAATATAGAAGTCAAAGGACAACTTTCAGGAATCAGTTTTTTCTTTCAACCATAAGGTAGTGATGATCAAACTCACACTGACACACCTTTACCTGCTGAGCTGTATTGCTGGCCCAAGAAGCTATATTTCTTTGTAATTCTTTATTTTTTTTTAATTTTTTTTAAATTTATGTGTATTGGTATTTTGCCTACATGTATGTCTGGGTGAGGGTGTCAGGTCCTCTGGAACTGGAGTTACAGGCAGCCATGATCTGCCTGTAGGTGCTGGGTATTGAACCCTGGTCCTCTGGAAGAGCAGTCAGTGCTCTAAACCACTGAGCCATCTCTCCAGCCCCATATAATTCTTAATAAATCTTTAAACATGTGTAAATGCTTTATAACATGACTCAATTCTCAGAACATAATCTCTGAAATAGATTGGGCATCAATATATTTTTGCATATGTACAAGGGACCCCTTTCTAATGTTTTGGCTGAAGTTTACTGATGTTAATTTTTTACATTTATTTATTTTGTGTCTGTGTGAATCTGCACGGCTATCTCAAATGTGGTGACCAGAGAATAATTTATAGAAAATAGTTCCCTTTCCAACCTGTGGGTCCTACTCATGAGTAGCTTCTGCCCAGGCACAGGGTCCGGCCTCTGGTAAGTACTAACTGATGCTTTGATAATAACAGACTGGTATGGCACAAATGCAAACAGGGCTTTAATGCTCAATTCCATCCTGCCTCCCCTACATCCCCTGGCTTAGCTGGAGCACAAGTATCAATCAGAGAGAGGAGTGCCTCAGAGTTAGGTTGAGCTTTGGATTCCATCACTGTCATTAAGTGCTCTCAGAAATCTATCTACCTCGTTTTTATAAAATGGAGAGAACAGAGCTTCATGGGTTTTGAAGATGAGATGACATTATGCACACATAACAACACAATGTCCTGAAAAAAATAACAGCCCTTAAATTATTTTTATTTCCACTTGTCTATATTCCCAGAATGAAAAAAGTGCCATGGGCTCTTTCTTTGTCATATTAGTACTAAAATGAGGATCAGTCACCTTGCTTGCCACATCTCCTCATTGGCCACAGATTCCCAAGAAGATGGATCAAACCTGTAGTTACAAGAAAAACAGTGACCCTCCATCAGCCACAATGCATGGTGAATACAGGATGTCTGCTTTATCATCTTATAATGATAACACCAAAAAGTTTCTCATTTCAGTAGGTGTACCTACGAAATCTTAGCCGTGCCTCATGGGAGCAGAGGACAAAAAGAAGAGGCTGCAGGCATTGGGCAGCTGTCCCTGAGCCTATGAGGTGACAAAGTGAGGCACAGGCCACACTAGGACTTAGCCAAGAGCATGTGTGAAGAGAAGCTTCACTACACTCCTGCTGGGCTAGGGTTGCTTGAAGAATTCTGGCCAAACAACTGCTAGCCAGAATTTTATAATTAAAAATTTATAATAAAAATTAAGATAAGAAATTTACAATTAAAATTTCTCATGTATCTGTTTAAGCAGAGTGGAGCTACAGAATTACATGTACATGTATTCTTCACAGCTATCTGAAGAAAATGTAATTTTCACTATGTAAACCAGGATGGTCTTGAACTTACAATCCTAACTTGACCTCCTGAGTCTGGGAAGCCGAGGCATATACCACCATATCCAGCAGACTGTTATTTCTCAAATTTTCTTATGAACTATTCAACAATGTGCTGTTGGCTCATATTGTCTCAAAAAACCTTCATAGCATTTTTAATATGATCTTTCCTCTTGCTCATGAATTATAAACAAAAGGCTATCTGGTGGTAAAGAATCCATTAATTTAAAGACATTTTTATTTAACTGTGCGGGTGGGGGGGTGGTATGTACATCAGTTCAGGCGGCTGTGGAAGCCAGAAGAGGATGCTGGATACTAAAGTTGGGTCTTGTATAAGAACAGTATAGGCTCTTAACCAATGAACCATTTCTCCACTTCAATTATTCATAATTAAAAAAAAACAGATAATAGGGGCATTTGTCTCAATGGGATTGTATTCTATAGGTAAGGGTAAACTTTATGTAGAAATGCTCAAGAAGAGATGAATAATTACCTGAGCAATATAACAAGGTTGATAACAAACAACCACAGAAAAAGGTTCTCAAACAGCCTTTCTTACAGAAACTATTTGTCTTTTTATTTTTGTGCTGGGGACTGAATATTCCACTCCAATCACATGTTAGGGAAGTGCTGTATCACTGAACTACATGATAAAATTGTGACAGCATTCTTGCAGAAGGAACAGCAAGTTCACACATATGGAACTCAACCTGGTCAACAGACTGCCTCCCAGAGTTTAATGGCAGTGGAGTTCCTTCCACTCAAAGCATAATAAGATATAGGATGCTGGACTATGCAGGGTCATGGCCTCAAAGAAGAAGGTGCCATGCATCAAACTCCCACTCACCCACAACCCTACTTTCCTGATTGCCTAGACAGAAGAAGAAAGAAGCCATCTTTTCCTTTGATGTTTTATGATTTTGTGGGCAGAAAATGGTATTAATAAAAAAGCTGAACATTAAAATTAAAAGGCATCTAAAGAGCCAAGTGTGGTGGCACAGGCCTGTGACTCGAGCACCGGGGGAGGGGGACAGGGGGCTAAAACAGAGGACAGGCCTGTGACCCCAGCACTAGGGCTGTGGGTTTCTGAGTCAAGGGACAGGTCAGTGATTGTAGTATTGGGAAGCTGAGGCAGGGGACAGGCCTGTGACCCCAGCACTGGGGGGGCTGAGGCAGTAGGACCTTGAATTTGAAGTCAGGCTGTATAGTAAGAACTTGTCATTAAACTCAAAACCACAAAAAAGAACTCAAAATGTAGCCTTTTTTGTTTTTAGAAATACAAAACAGATAGCTGCCTAAAAACACACCTGCTGTTCATACCTTCCATATTCCTCAGTCCAGTTATAGATACTTTTGGTGCGTTTAATCCACTCTTCTGGGTTGAATACAATCCTTGAAGGAACCAACTTGTCACAAGATCCCCATGGCCAAAGTGAATAATCCCTTTTCCAAGTTGGGTCACCTTCATGGATTCCTATGCAAACAAATGCTTCTTTTCTATCCAAAACAAAAAAGCACAGATTCTAAATGTTACATTTCTAGTTCACTGATCATTTTGGACTCCATAAACCTTAGTTATTTATAGGCCATTTTGTGAACATGTTGGTTTATTTAAATCTTTCCCAAGTATAGTGCATGAAATTTATTTACTGTAAAATGAAGCAAAACAAAACAGAAAGCTGCAGAAGGAACAAACAAATGTATGAGAAAGGTCTTCCTGCCTCTCATTCTAAAACAGGGGCCTTACCACCAGGAACACTGCCATGGCATTGTGTCACATGTAAACAAATGCTTTCTTTGACATCCCTTCTTATTTTACAGGTAGAATTAGACGTTGCCCTATTCCCCACACGTCTGTTGTACTTTATTATCTCTTTTGTCATTTCTATGCTTATTATTTGCATTTGTAAGTCTCCCTGAGAAGCCTAGAAGCATCCTGAGGATAGGCACTCTGTCCCTGCATTAACTTTGAAAGCCACTCAGCATGAGGTTAACACATAATAAATACTGGCTGGAATTAAATTAATCAGATTTGAATAACTGTTAGGAACCTTAGAGCCTACAAAAGTTAGAAACAGAAATGGTTTAAACAGCTGTTTTCTTCTTATTTGTGGTTGGTAAGCAGAATGAAAAAGGAGCAGAACATTAGAAGTTATTTGAAAGTAAATGACTTTGCTAACTTTGAAAGAACATATTTGTCATCTTAGATTTCGTATTTCTCCTCACACTTAACTGCCTCTGCCTGGTCACAAGCTGGCGAAAGCCACACGTGGCGTCTGACCTGAAGCTGAGTCTCCAAAGAGACAGGCCACTCTGGGGAAGATGCAGCCCTCAGCCAGGCTCTAGAAGAACCCAGCAGCAGCCATCTGAGGGCCCTCATTTGGAAATGACCAGCAGGACCAGGAACAAACCCAAAACCAAACCAGCAGGTAGCCCATCCTCTCTCTCCTTCCAGCACTGAAACCAGAGGGATGGACAGAGAGCTCCCACGCTGAGGCTGGAAGGTAGGTGTGTGTGTGTGTGTGTGTGTGTGTGTGTGTGTGTGTGTGTGTGTGTGTGTGTGTGTGTATGTGTTGGGGATGACTTCCCTGTCCTGAGGCATGGGGACAAGGCTAAGGCAGTTGAGGGTTAGCAGCAGCGTGGTGATGGTAGTGGTGGTTGGTCAGGAACCCAAACCTTAAATTCCAGGAGCAGTTTGGGCTCTGCCTGATGCCTGATATAGACAAGAATCACGGGAAGGGAGACAGCAAAAAATGAAAGTTTTCTGGCACAAAGTATGAAGAAAGTAGGCCTCAGGGAACTGGAAAACACTGGAGTGACTAAATATTGAGATCAATAGAGCAATCCCATAAAGCTGTTTGTGAGCTCCTGGCTTACCTCTGAACCCTGAGTTCACTATGCATTGCACAGTTCTTACTCTACAGGGAATCTACACAGTTGGCCATACCCCAATTGTGCAAACCTACTACCTAAGTTTCTGGGTAGTCATGTGAAAGGCGAAAAACTGGTTAGACAGAGATGAGGGCTGAGAATCCAGAAATTGTCTTGGTTTTATTGGCAATTCTATCCTGGCCAAAGGACAAAGCCACCAAAAACATTTAATGGCCCTGGTGTGTGTTCTGGTTTGTTTTAATCTTTCTCCTTTTACACAGTGACCTAATGAAAACAGCTGCTTGGATGCTACCAGGAATCAAATCCCTCAAGTGTGCCCAAACCCCAGTTCAGACACCAGGATGGAGAAGTACATGAATACATGTGGGTGTGACAACTGGGCTGAGCAGCTCTCCCCACCCAATACCTCAATCTAACAAAACTTCATCAACCCTTAGAGCAGGGTGCTCAGTGACAGACAGCCCTTGCCTGAGACTGCACTGGGTTGGACCTCTGTTTCCTTTGTCAAGCACTTACCTATAACAAAACTGTTTGGAAAATGAATCTCTCCATTATCTGTGAAACTCATCCCATGAATTTATAAGATTGAATCGATGGGAAATGCTCAGGACATGTGAGGTAAAAGAAGCTGGATTATCTTCTCCACATGTACATGTGTATGTAAATGAGTAACAATGCTGAAAGCAACTAGAATTCAAAATGACAACAAATATGCCCTTGACAGTTTTTCTGTAGAGCCTTATTTCCCAGGGAACTGTGATTATTTCTACAATATTGTTCTTGGATCATGTTAGACTCTCATTTCTTTTCTTTTTATGTGTATTGTGTGTGTGTGTGTGTGTGTGTGTGTGTGTGTGTGTGTGTGTGTGTGTCCCTGTGTGTAAGGGTTCCTGTGAGCCAGAGGAGGGCTTCAGACCCCTCGGACCCAGAGTTATAAGCCACTGTAAGCTGGGAACAGGGAACTGAACTAGGTTCTCAAGGTCCTCTTCTAGGTCCTCTAGCAGAGCAGCTAGTAAATCCTCTTAACTGCTGAGCCATTCCTGCAATCCCAACTCTCATTTCTTAATATATGCTGAATGAATAACCATAGGCAAAATTAATGGCTTCTTGTCTATGTTCCCAGAATGCTTAGTCTATATGGTCAAATAATCTATTTAGTAGGCACATACAGCATGTGTCACACTTGCTAGTGAAGAACTTCCCACACCCTGGCTAGTTACATTCACATCACTGTATGCAGCCAACTAGACCATGGCCCACTGGGATCTGGACCTGAGCCTCACTTACGTTTTTATTGCCAGGGCTAACACAAGCTATAACAGAGCAAATATTTGAAGCAGAATTAAATGAAACTCACAAAAATGCCAGTTTGGGAATGCTATTGGCTTGTTACATCATACTTGTGAATATAATAATTTATTGCACATCTCACAGCACGTTTGTACCTACCATCCCCTTCCTATCACTCCATGAGCCACTGATGACAGGCTCAGTAGCACACTGAAAAACTACATTTTGTGTCCTTACCAAAGAATAACTTGACATTGGAATTTATATGAAAAAAGGAAAATTAAGCTCTCTTCACAAGAAAATATAAAACATGATCTAAATGCTTCTTTTTCAAGCTAGGGACAATCTCAAGCATCTCAGACAGAAGCAATGCTAGGATTCACCACCAAGGACTCACTTAGTCTTGACCCGAACTACAAATCACTTTATGTTCTCAAGTACAGAATTGACAATTCTCTTATTTTACCCTCAGCTAGCATAAACTGTAGGTGTTTTTCTTATTTATAAAAATGTTTTATCCTTCATAAAAATGCTTATGCTATTTTTATATAGTGATTATTCCTGGAAAAAAAAATGCTTTACACTTAAAAGGGCCACAGTGCTGATCAGGAGGGAACCGTAATTGCTTGCGATACACCTGCAACGATTTCAAGTAGGCAGGCACATCTCCAATTTCTCAGGATTGTGCTAAGATCTTATTTGCTGTTCTTGCTAATCTGTCTTTATTTTTTCTTTTACCCAGAACAATAACATTTATTTCTGCCTGGCTTCATTTATGCACAGATATTCAATTTAATTACAAAGATAATCTCACTGGTGGCAGGGAAATAGGTAGAAAATTGGTCTTTTGGATGAGGCACAGCTGCTTCAGAAACAATTTTTAGAAAAGCTTACGATTTTAGAAAAGCTATTATGAAAAGAATGCTTACTGTTTATTCATTTCAAGAAAGTGATAAAGATTGAATGTGACCATTCCACTCGGTAATACTCCTTCCACGGGGTTCCACCGGTCCCCAGGAAAGTGCACTCCCGGTAGATGTCTTGCCATCTTGGGTAAATACCACTCATAAGTCATCATCTGTCAGAGAGATCACAAGGAGTGAACACATGTTGCAAAGTATCAGGTTCACCAACAGCCATGGAAAGGTTCAAAAATATAGATATACTCATTAAATAATTGGAAAAAAATACATTCAGGCAAACTGAGGACTATGGCACTGCTATGCCTGCAAAAATGACTTACTTCTTAGGCTTTATAGCTTAAGAGATGAACACTACCCTGGATCCACTTCACCTCCATGCATCTGCCAACTTCCATGATGATCCCCAATCTTAGAGAATGGGACTCGATTCTCAGAACCAGCAAAGACGGCGCTGGGAAGGGACGCCCTTCCACCTCCCCAGCCTCTGTAGCTACCTCGGGTATAACTCTAGGCCTACTCCTCACTAGCCTGAGCTCCCAGAGGGAAGGGACTGTACCTTTTCATCTCTGAGTACCTAGCACACTGCATAGCACACAACAGTGTTCCAATTATTTAGTTGCAGTTAAAATATCTTTGATGGACAGACCAAATAACCTAGACAAAATATATACATGTGCATTACTACACTCATCTTAAGTGTTGCTCATTTATAAAAAATAAGTTATAATCACTGGCCTTGGGAAGCTCAATTATATAATAACCTAGGCCTCAAAGCTGAAAATCTTTTTGGCTAAATTATCTGAATTTATTAGTAGCCCCCAATTAATCACATATCCTTATGCATTTTTAAATTTTGGTTTGACTTTTTGAGGCAGGGACTTTAATTACAAAGATTATCTCACCGGTGACATATGCTAACTTCAAACTTTTTTGTTTTGATTTGTTGAGACCTGGCTGGCCTAGAATTCACTTTGTAAATCAGGTTGGCCTTGAACTCACAGAGATCTGCTTGTCTCTGTCTCCCAAGTTCTGGGGTTAAAGGCATGTGCCAACCCAACCAGATGGCTTCAAACTCTTGATCCTCCTACTGGTGGCTCCTGAGAACTGAATGAGACTACAGGTATGTGTCACCACAATTAGATTCACATGTGCTTTCATTAAAATAAACTATCAGAAAAAAAAATCACTTTTCTTAATTATATACGTAGTTCTGTATTTTCATAGAAAAGACTCCTGTTTACATTTGAATATGATAGTCTAATCAATCGTGCTTATATTTTACTTACCTTGTGTAACATTCAATTAACAAATGACAAATTAATTTTAAATGCATATATTATACAACCCAAAGAATAGTTTAAGTGCTTGGGGTTATCCACATCAATAGAGCAATATGCTATGAACTTAATACACCTCAGATAATTCTCATAATAACCATATTATAATTCTATTAGATACCATTGTTGGCCCATTGATAGCGACTATCTCCTCTTTTTACAAAAACATTCCCAATTGTAATCAACTCTGAGATGGCAATGTGCTCAGGCCTAGTGATTCACCTTTGCTAATGAGTGTTTTAGAAGTGGGCAGTATGAACTAAATTGCTTAAGTTTTTGGGAGCTCTGAAAAAATGTTACTCTCAGTGGAGAGCTATGCCAACAGGCCAAGAAGCATCCTGCTTTGAGGATGTGAGGTTTGAAACTAGGTATCTGTGCTGGTTAATTTTTGACAACTGGACATGAACTAGAGTCACCTGGAAAAAGGGGCCCTCAAAGGATAATAGCTTCCATCATCAGGCTGGTGCATTTCCTTTATTAATGACTGATGTGGGAAGGCCCAACCCACTATGAGTGGTACCAGCCCTGGGCAGGTGGGTCCTAGGTGGTGTAAGAAAGCAGAGGAAGCCAGCCATGGAGAGTAAGCCAGTAAGCTGTGTGTCCGTGGGCTCTACTACAGCTGTCTTGAGTTTGTGCCTTGGTTTCCCTCGATGTGATGAACTATAACCTATAAGCCAAGGAAACACTTTCCTCTCCCAACTTGGTTTTGGTCAGTGTTTTATCACAGAGCCAGAAAGCAAACTATAAGACCACTGACATCACTGTTTGCATCATCAGTCCCCAAACCTCCTCGATCCAGATTACTTGCTCTGTGACACAGAAGTGCCACAGTTTAAACTGCTCTTAGTTGGGCACTCTGTTTCCAGCATTCAAAAGCATCTTTCCATCTATGACTAAGCAAACAGAAGTTCTCAGAGGAACAATCATTTGTCTCATCACATATCCAAGAAGTGACACCATGAGGACCTTAATCAGAGCGTGATGTTCTTTGAAATCCAACCACACCAGCTGCTGTTTCAAACAGTGCTTACAACGGGAGTGCATACTAAGTCATCAACAAGACCTAGATTTCAGAATTGGGACTGATGCTCAAGTCTGCGTGTCTGTACAGCTCACACCTGAGCAAACTGCTCATATGCACACTGTGTGAAATTGTATAGATGGGTGCTCGGAATCCAATCTGGATCCCTTGAAAGAGCAGTCAGGGGTGATCTTAAAAGGTGAACCACCTCTATTCTGCTCAGACATCATATTCTTACAAGCTCCCTCTAACACATTTCTGTTGGAGGATCAATAGTTTATATAAAAATTCTACAGCTGTGTTATAATTAATCATTTCCAATTTAAATGAAACGTTTACTTGCCCACATTTTTTATATTCAATTAATTTAATTTTCATATGTAGGCCAGTGTGCAATGTTATTTGCTTGATGAACTGGTTAAAGATAAACAACCTAGTCTATTACTTGACTCTAAGATAAGGCATATTGATAAAACAGATTAAGTGATGAAGAAACAAGTTATAAATTAGCTCCAAATAAACAGAACTGTGAGCTAACCATCCTAAAAGGGATTTCAGCTGGTGGTGTACACTGGTAATCCCAGCATCTATGAGGCCAAGGCAGGAGTACAGAGAAAACCCGGTCATCTTGGTCTATACTATGAGACGCTCTCAAAAGAAAAAAAAAATTACTTCCTCTCCCCATAGAAAACCCACACACACAAAAATAATTATTATGAAAAGTTTGCTCAACCATATTTTTAAAAACATGCTTATCTATCTGTTTACGTGGATGGATCATACTGTTTGCCCAGACTAGTTTCAAAATCTTGGACTCAAGTCACAGGCATACACAGGCATATGCCACTGTGAATGATGTGGTTAAAGGTTGCTTTATGCTGAGGATATTTTTCTTATACTTACTTCTTGATCCACTAGGGAAACATCTGGCCTCATCCCCTCACAGTAATGCAAGTAACGGAGAGAATTCCCTGGCAAATCTCCCCTGAGTAAGATGATTGCATCACGAGGCATGGAGTTCAGAAGGTTTCGTGCAAACTGATCGATCACATTATTGGTTCTTTGGTCACAAATGCTAAATGGAAAAGATTTTTTTCAGCAAATTAAATCAGCAGTACATTTGCACAATTTTAAGAGGCCTGGCTCCTTCTCTATGCTTTCCCTTCCCTCCTTTCCCTCTGTGTCCACACTTCATGCCACATCCAACCAGCACTCTCTGGGAAGGCACACCACTTGGGAGAATAGCTCATTAGCTCAGATTTTTGTTTATTTTATTTGAGAAAGAGCTTCTCTGCGCAGGTCTGGCTGTTGTGTAACTGGATTTGGAGACCAGGCTGGCCTCGAACTCAGAGATCTGCCTGACTCTGCCTCCCGAGTAAAGGCAAGAACAACCATGCCCAGCATCATCTCAGCCTTTTTAGAGAGGTGCTAAGTGAAAGGAAAGGAGAAAAGCCCACTGCATTTCTGCCACCAATTTACAATCACGTGCATGAAAAGCAAGTAGCCTGTGTCATGTGTAATTCTCCACCCCAAGTAATCCAATCTCAGTTATAAAGTAGTTTCTGACTACGTAGAATTAAGGTAATTTCATCTTAATCCCATCTCCTCCAAAGGAGGAAATACACGCAGGATAGGAAATCTGCTATTTCTGACAAGAGTTGATATGCACCTGTGCGACAATGGCATGTGCACCACCTTCCCCCATCTCTCCCCAGGGATGAGAACACTGAGAAGGAGGTGAGTGCATTTGCTGAGCTGTCTGCAGCCCCTTAGCTATCACCTACCGATGCTATGCTAACACTGCAGCACAGCTCTTCTCAAGAATGAAGTGTGTTTTCTCAACAAAGGAAAGGTGAATGAGTTCAGAGTATGCAGGAGAAGAGAGAAAGCGGAAAAACACAAGAAAACAAAAACCAGGAGATGGGATTCCCTGTAACTCCCTGTCTTTCTACCATCCACTTTTCATTAAGAGGATGTCACAAGGCAAAGAAGCTTTTTTAAACAGAGCACCACCCCTGCCCTTGCAAAGCATACAGCAATGACTGTTTGCTACCAGGAAGATCCTTTACTTTGCTAGTGATACCTCACATTTTGTCACCCAGAAAGTTGCTACTCATTCCATTCTCTGGGGGCAAATAAAAGAAAAAAAACAGACAAGGCACATCACTGCTGCTGAGGTTGGACATCCATCAAAGATCTGAGCCTGGAGAAGGTGGGCACAAGAGACTGAGGTCGGGTTGAATAAGGTTGGGACATATGTGGCTTAACAGCTTCTCCTTGGGACCTCTGATGGGATGTGTAGCCCACATGAAAAAGGGCAGAAGCAAAGAAGCCCAGCAACACAAGCTAGCAGAACAGCTCTGGCCACTCAACTCCCTGATATGGGAGGGGGCCTCAGAAGGTACTTGCAAAGGTAAGCCAGGCACAACCTGGTAGCCTGCCTCAGGAAGGCCCACAGCCCTCATGAGCCCCATCCAGGAGTGAGGTTTTGGAAGACTGTAATTCCCCCAGCAAACTAGCTGGCCAAGAAGAAAAACCCCATTTTGTCAAACGGTACGACTCAAAGAGCATTGGTGGACACCGTGACAGAGAGTCCATTCTGAAAATTCTGAGCTTCCCTGAGGGCTACAGGTCAGGAGACTTCATTTGACCTGCCACAAGCTGTGAGTGAGAGAAGGCGAGAAAGGTAGTTGTGGACAAGAGGAGGGACGGACAGACACTGACAGCAGAAGGGGGGAATGACAGGAGGCTGGGGAGGCTGGGACTGGTGGGGAAGGAGGATGGGGAGGGTGGGAGGGAGTGAGCATGTTGTGTCATGGGTAGAACCCACCAACAGAATTTCCCTGTTCCAAGTCTGAGGTGCCAGGGAGGTCAAGATCTAGAGCTACCCATCTTTGTTCACTGCTATAGAGCCTGAGAACGCTGAGGTTCCGGGGTGTACACGATACCCACAGCTGTACCCCTCCAGCAGGGGACTCAAACTCAGGAGGCTGTGAAAGTAGGGAGGTGACCCCTCTGCCTGTGGTCATGTCAGTGCTGTGGCTGCTTCCCACACTCCAGCCTCCAGGAGCATCATCTAGGGAGGCTCAGGCGAGGGAATCTTCCCAGCACATAGAATGCAAAGTCAAGTGTGGCCAGCAGAGGGCCCTGATACACAAAGAAGGAAAATGGCCGCTGTGAGGACAGCTCTGGTGGACACTGGACACCTGTTCAACACAGACTCCTCCACAGCATAAATAAGGAAACAAGGGAGCCCACAAGTTCAAATGGCCCCTGCCTCATGCATAAGTAGAAGTCTCCAATTCTCAAGGACCCCAAAGGAAGCTGTTGTAACACACCTTGCCCCCAACCCCTGTGGTTCTTTTCTTTTTTTCCTACACATTTAGCAAGATTCTTACTGTATTTTAAGAATTTTCAAACATTTTTAACAGGCTGGCCAGATGGCTCAGAGGGCAAAGAACTTGCTGCCAAGCTGGATGACCGGAGTTTGACCCCTGGTACTCTAAGATATGATGGAAGGGAAAACTCAAAACCTTCAAGTTCTCTAACCTCCACACTCATGCTGTGGCATGTGCATATCACCACCTCCCAATCAGAAATAAATAAAATACAATGTAATCAAAATATTTTAATGTTTGGAGCTGGGCGTTGGTGGCGCATGCCTTTAATCCCAGCACTTGGAAGGCAGAGGCAGGTGAGCTCGAGGCCAGCCTGGTCTATAGAGATAGAGTGAGTGCCAGGACAGGCTCAAAAACAATACAGAGAAACCCTGTCTTGAAAAAAAAAAAAAAAAAAAAAAAAAAAAAAAAAAAAACCCAAAACCAAAAAAAAATTAAATATTTTGATCTGTTATCATCCTTTAAGCATTCATATAATTTTTTTAAAACATATTTTCCCATGGGGGGGCGCAGCACATTTTTCTCTTTCTTAGTTTATTTTTTTATCTCCTCTAACTCTTTCCCTCTGTTTACACTACTGGGTTTTAAAACATTCTCAGCCAGCAATGGTAGCACACACCTTGCATCCCAGCACTCAGGAGGCAGAGGCAAGTGGATCTCTGTGAGTTCAAGGCCAGTCTGGTCTATAGAGCTAGTTCCAGGACAGCAGGGCTACACAAGGAAACCATGTCTCATCACAAAACAAAGCAAAAGCATTTTCTTATGTTTTATTTTACCCTTTTTCACATCTGTCTAATTTCTGTCTAGGCTTTTTCGGTACCAAGGAATCTCTGCTGCCGTTTCTCCTCTTCTTCCCAACATCGCTCTCCTCCACTCCCTTCTTTCTTCTATTCACTCTTGCCCCGCCCTTTTCTCTCTCCTTGGATTCCTTCTTTTACTATTTCCACACTCATTCTAAATAATTTTTCTTTACTGTCAATTTTCCATAGTTTTGCCATTTTCAGGCCTGGAGTAATTGGCAATGCTGTCATGGACTTAGCAGTTTTTAAATTTTTTATATATTCTGTATGGTTTGATGATGTTGCTGCTATAGCAGTTTGTTGCTGTCTCACTAAGTGGTACCCAGGACTGAGTCTTCAAAAGTAGGCTTCTCAATAAGATCCTCCCCAAATCCAGAAGAGATATCCAAACCAATAGCTATAGAAATCCATTGCAGAAATGCAAGAAACATGAACATCAAAACAATATGACCCAGCTGGACTTTGGTGACACACACCTTTAATCCCAGCACTTGGAAGGCAGAGGCAGGTGGATTTCTGTTCGAGGCCAGCCTGGTCTACAGAGCTAGTTCCAGGACAGGCTTCAAAGCAATACAGAGAAACCCTGTTTGGAAAAACAAAACAAACAAACAATCAATCAAACAAACAAACAAAAAACAAAACAAAACAAAAGAAAGGAACAAAACAAACAATATGACCCCCCAAGAGATCGTAATCCCTCCACTAGTGAACTCAAAGGAATTGAGATAAGTGAAATGCCAGGTAAACATTTCAGAAGTTCTCTGATAACAACCGTGATCCAAAAGAAGACACCAACAAGCAGAAGAATTTAATCCAAACCTAGAGAGGAAAGTTAGCAACCCAGAGGAAAGAAGTAAGCAAAAGGGATAAGAAAGGAGCAACATGGAAGAAAAAGTCAGCAAGCAAACAGATTTGGTAAGCTATGAAAGAAAACAAGTAGAAAGGCTGGAAGAGAAAACGTCAATGAATCAAATAAAAGCATGCTGGAAAACATCACCAGCCCAAGCCAAAAAAGTTCTATTGGAAAAAGAAGTCAAGGTTGATTAAATATGGCATTCAAATATCAATAAGGAAAAAAACAAACATGACCATAATATCCACAAACTCTGGGATACAATCAAGAGGTCAAATTTATGAGTCCACAAGCTAGAAGGAGGAGATGAAATAATATAGATATAGATATGGAAAACTTATTTGATAAATCATTTCCTAAATCTAGAGAGAGGTGGATATCCAAACACAAGAAGCATTAAGGACCCATGTACATATGACTGAAGAAGAACTTCTTAAACACATATTAAAGGCAGTATGTCCAAACTGAAGCAATGGAAAAAAAAAAAAAAAGCTGTAAAGGGAACACGCCATGCCAACTCATCCATAAAGGGAGAACCATCAGAATAATACCAGCTCTTTCATCAACAGCCCTCAAAGCCAGGAAAGCATGGGACCATAGCTTTCAAATTCCTAAAGTAAGTAACTGCAAGCAAAATTGCTATATACAGCAGAGGCGGCCTTTAAAAATGATGGTAGCATGTACCTTTAATCCTAACACTTGGGAAGCAGAGGCAGGTGATCTCTGAGTTACAAGACTAGCTGGTCTTGTAAAGTGAGTTCCAGGACAGCCAGAGAGGGTGAGGGATACACAAAGAAACCTTGTCTCAAAAAACCAACCAAACAACCAAAAAATAAATAAATAAAATTGATGGAGAAATAAAGAAATTTGAAGGCAAGCACAAACTAATGTAGTTCATGACTGCCTAATATGCAGTGACAGAAGACACACTGATAAAGTCACTTACAGACAGAGCCAATGGATGGAAGTAAATGGAAGCAAAGAAAAAACAAACAACCTAGAATAGCTATCTTGATGTTCAACAAAGTGGACTTCAAACCCAAATTACCCAGAAGAGATAAAGATGGCTACTGATGATTAATAGAGAGCAATCTATCAACATAATGGGACAACTGTAAATATACAGACATCAAAGGTTGGGGAAAGTCCCAATTTCAAAAACAAGCATTAATGGACATAAAAGTTCAGAGACAATGACACTACAAAATTCCATATCCCTTTGCCACCACTAAATAGATCATTGTGGGTGCCCATAAGATGGCTGCACTTCATCTTGGCACAAGGACAGAGTTCAAAGCTGTCAGCAAGTCATAAGACCTAAAGGTCAAAGGAGTGGCTACAGAAGGATGTTTGGGCCGTCTTAGTCTAAATAACAGACCTGAATCTGAGGTGTGGCTACTCCTGACTGTCAAGGCTAAGGAAGGAGAAGTTGAATCTGAGGTACGGCTACTCCTGACCTCAAGGCTAGGGGACAAGAAGTTAGAGCTAAGGTGTGGTTATTGAACCCTTGGAATGAGTGAGGAAGAAAAGTCTGTTTGTTTCATATACATGATACTGTGTTCCACTTTTTGGTTATGGTATATAAGAGTGTCGAAATATAAACTCGTGGCATTTCAGTATTGACTGATCTGCCCTCCTGACCTTTATTCTGTCTCTTTCTCTCTCTCTTTCTTTATCGTCTATAGCTAGCCTTTCTTTCATCCACACTCCTCTACCCAGGTACAGACTTGGAGCCACTTGGCTCCGATTGCAGCTCCACAAAGACTGCTCCCGACAGATCATCCAAAATAAAACCCAACAAGAAATGTCACAAGTAAACCACATCACAGATCAAATGGACTTAACAGATATATGGCAATAGAAACATAATATATATTCAGCTCAGCAACTTATGGAAGTTTTTCCAAAATAAGTCATAATCCAGACCATAAGTCAAGACTTATCAAATATAAAGTAACAAAACCCCTCATATATACCAGATCACAGTATAATAAACCTAGAAATCAATGCAAAAAAATTACAGAAGCCACAGATACGTGGAGACTGAACATTAATTACATTTTTAATGAACAGTGGGTCATTTAAAAAATCAGGGTGGACATGAAGGAATTACTCAGGTATTACTCAAAAGATGAAAATTTTGGAGCATAAAGTGACCCACAAGAACCCTAAATCTTTTCATTTTTCCATCTAAGGGTATTTTAATTATATATATATAGACTCTAGAATCTTCACTGTATTTCTTTAGTTCTTTAGAGGAAAACACATAGTCTATATGCACGGCTTCCACTCATTTACAATGGCCTTGATCCACACCACTGCCAGTGGTGTGGTGACAAACACCAGAGCTTTACAGCCAGCCATCACACTCAGCTGTTTTCACTCATCTTAGAAGTCAGAGGGAAAAAAAAGTCCTGGAATTACATAGGAAAATATCTCTCGTGTTAAGTACTACTTTTCAGAAAGTAACTATATGTTGTTACCTGTAATTTGAGTATATTTGATAAGCTACAAAAAGAGCTGCTGACAGCCACTCCAGACACTGAACCCCATTGCGGTTCAGCACTCGGTTAGTCTCAGACACAAGTGTGGCCAAACCGAGCCCAGCAAGAACTGCCACCACTGCATTGCTCTGCATCCAGAATCGTTCCACCTGGGAAAGAGACAAGCAGACAGTGTGTCCAGCTGACAGGTTTAATGATCAATTGGAACTTACATAATCTAAAAACATTCATCGCGTATACTTAGCTGCTTACACCTATTATCATTAGGCCTTGTTAATTCACTTCTCTAGCCCAGTTTTAGGTCAATTTATTTTCCAATGTCCCTCCTTCCTAATTTGCTTACACAGTCACCTCAGAACTACAGGCATCATCTCTGCTCCAGCATTGTGGGTGAAAAAGAAATGCTCTGCTTTACTCTAGGGAGAAACACTTGCTTTCCCTACACACTTCCCTGATGTCTTTGTAGGATGAAGAGGACTAATCCTATAAGAGAACTGGCAGCTTCTGCCAGGCCAACATAGCATTCTCTTTTCCTGTTTCTGTTGCAAGTGAGTCACCCACAAGAAGTACTGGTGGTCCACAGTGCACTCTCCCAGGGGCTCTAGTTGGTAGGGCCGAATGGTGTGCAGCCCTGCTTGTGAGTGGTGGCTAGGACTGTCTGTCTTAGAAGACAGCATGATGGGAGCGCACTGCTCACAGGAAGAAGTTGCACTCTCCAACCACAGCTTCCTCAGTGATAACGGTGATCACCAACCAGCTTAGAGTAGCTTAGCTTCTCTCTCACTTGGTTCAAAGCTTAGATGCTCAAGAAGAACATATACATGAACATACACACAAACGACCAGGTAGGATCAGCTTTCAAAAATGGGCTATTTGACATCTATAGTTTCTAGCGTGAGAACTAACAGAAGCAGGGGAGGTGGCTCTGACTGTGGCCCTAGCACTCAGGAAACTGAGGCAGGAAGATAGTGAATTTACTATAGCAGCAGTTCTCAGTCTGTGGATCATGACTCCTGGGGTTGAAATGACCCTTTCACAGGGGTGACATATCAGATACCCCGCATACCAGATATTTACATTATGATTCATAACAGTAGCAAAATTACAATTATGAAGTAGCCACGAAATAATTTTATGGTTGGGGGTCAGCAAAACATGAGGAACAGTATTAAATGGTCACAGCATTAGGAAAGCTGAGAACCATGCACAATAGAGTGTCTCAAACAAAACAAAATACAAACAAAAAACCTTATCTCAGTCACAGAGATGGCTGCCAGGAAAAACACAAGAATCATGCTTGTTTTCACAGACTTAAGAAAGGTGACATAAGAAGACAGGATAGGAGCTCCTTTTCCTCCTTGCTCAACACATATTTCTTTTGCTATTCTAGAAGGAATTCCAGACAAAATGCAGCTGTTTTTATATTTCCAAGAATGCAGATACAAAATTATTAAATCTACATTGGGTTTTTTTTTTTGCCTATTTAACTACTCTGTTAACTACACACTTTATTTGTTTGCTTGCTTGTTTGAGACAAGGAGCTCATGTGGCTCTCAGGGTAACAAACACTGCCGTGATCTCTTGCCACCGCCTCCCCAGTGCTGAGATTATATATGTATGTATGTATGTATGTATGTATGTATGTATGTATATATATATGCACACACATATATGTCTATAATATATATATATTTACTACTTCTTAAATAGTTTGTCCTTTGACAAAATTCATAAAGGGCAAATTTGTACAATCTTCACAAATTTACTGTTTAAAAATTCTATCAAAATAAAACTTACCACACCCATGAAAAGTGGTTTTGAAATATCTAAATTTGCTCTCCAAGCAAAGAATAATGAATAAATGCAGAGCATCGCAGTGAAAAGCCATATTAATGAAGACTGCCGTCTGTCCCTACAAAAACAAAAATGTGTCCAAAATTACCTATATGTATGAATATCAATAATATACATAGCTTTAAAATATAGGGCAGTTTCTGTAGCTTTAAAACTTTCTATTTTTAAGAAAGAACAAAATTTTCAAGATCTCTGTGGAATAGTTGATGGCAGACCAATAGCAAACACAATTTCATATTATAGCCAAGTTACTTGCAATGGTGCGCAGTAGATGGGGACTCGTAGAAAACACACTGGCAATCCTGTCAATTCTGAGAAGTCATCAAGCATATGTAAAATAAAACCACACTTTCATGCTTAAAAATTAAGATTTAAAATGGCAAATTTCGAAGAATTCGGCAGTGATGTGACAAAGTAAACTAGTGCAAGCCTTGAGAAAAGGTAATTTGATAATCTACCAATGCCCTTCATATGCAATCACTGACTCAGCAATCTGGCACACATATATCTTCAAGCAATAACTAGAAATGTAAATAAACATTAATCCATGAATGCTTTAGTACCACTTATAATAGAGAATAAGTGGAAGCAATTTATTGACTCTCAAACAGGAGAACATTTAATTTTCTAGTACATCTTCAGACATAGCTCAGCCCAGTGGTGAGACTCTTGCTATTCATGTACAAGGCCCTGGGTTCAATCCTCAGCACCACAAATAATACAGAAATTAATTTTTTCATGATGACCTGGTGGAACACACTATGTAGACATTTTAAACAATATTTTTTAGTATGAGAAAATGTTAACATTATTTTATAATGTTAATTGTTAGGCAAATAGAACAATAGATATATGTGTATTTACAAACAAATGTATCCAATAGAACAGAAAGTGAGTAAGTAAAAAATCAACAGTTTTATTATATAACCTGGCCTCAAATTCATGCTGGTTCTGCCTCAGGTTCTACTTGGCTTACAGTCATGCATCACCATGCCTGACAAGAAGGCTTTTTCTTTTTTTAAAAACTATTGGAGGAATTATATAGTAATAGGTTTCTTTTACAAGTCAACAATAATAACTAGCTATGGGCAGAGTAAAGGATCAAATTCAAGGTCTCAGATGATCAAGTGGCCAATCTTTCAAGTCCCTTATTTGCCCTCATAAGCTAAAAATTAAGAAACAATATATATTTGCCTTAACAGAAATTGTGGTGGTTGAAAGAAAATGGCCCCCAAAAGGAGTGGCACCATTAGGGGGTGCAGCTTTGTTGGAGTAGTTGTGTCATTGTGGGGACAGTCTTTGCGGTTTCCTATGCTCAAGCTATACCCAGTGTGGGTACAGATCTCTGCTGCCCAGGGATTAAGACACAGACCTCTCAGCTCCTTCTCCAGCACCACGTCTACCTGCATGCCACCAAGTCCCACCATGACAATAATGGACTAAACCTCTGAAACTGTAAGCCACCCCAATTAAATGTCTTCCTTTGTAAGAGTCCCCATCATTATGGTGTCTCTTCACAGCACTAGAAACCCTAAGACAGAAATGATCAGGAGTTATGCTAAATATAAGACAATGTTGGCAGCACTCTACAATGACATATAAAACACAGATTCAACATGGGAAACATAGTGCAGCAACAAAGGGAACATTACTCACTTTCTAGCTAAACATATATTTGCCCAAACTGCAAGAGCTTGGATGTTGAATGAAAGTTCGGTCTTCATATTTATTATTTGTGAACTGAAAAACAAAGCAAAACAAAAAACCAATGTATTTTGTTGTTGGCATAAAAGAAGTTCAGTAAATCCCAGACAAAGTATTTTACTATCAAAATGTTCCCTTATACACTGAACCACACTAAGGACTATGTCTATTTTAAAATTATCATTTCTTCCTTAAAATTTTGAAAGATGTGAAAAATATTGAAAAAGTCAAGCAGTTCTAAGACTTTTTTTATTGCAGTATTTGGTTTTTAGCATATATAATTTAGGATTGACAGTAGTATAAAGCATTAAGATCTTCCTAATGGTTTAGATGAGAAGTTATTTTGAAGGGAACTTTATAGACAGTTTCTAATACAGACATACTGGTGATTTAACAATTGAAATAAAAATTCATCTAAACTGTTTTCTGAAGATCCAGTTAGGAAGGGGGAAAAGGCCAAGAGAAGGGATTTTTGCCTCCTTTCTGGGTTATCTTCTTCCTTAAGCAGCTTTCCTTATTTCCCACATTATTTGTTTTGGAAATGTTTAAGCAATCTCACAGAAATGTGTTCATCTTATTTTGTATAACTGTGCTAAATCCTTCTACTAACTAATGAGCACTTTCAAGTGCTATCTGAGTCCTAAAATTGCCACACTATTTAATTTCTATAAGAAGAAATATGTCTACAAACTAAAGAAACTTCATTCTCCCTACTGGCAATTTTCCTGGAGAAAATGTCATGCCATAATCACAGAAGCCATACAATGAGTATTTTACTAATGGAGATACATCCACTATGAAAAACTACCTTCACTCATTTACAAATACACTTGAAAAATTGATTCTGGCATAAGGTCTGTTTCTTCAAAAGAAAGGAAGTCAGTCTCAAAATTAATTCTTAGAGATCTGTTGCTTAAATGTAAACTCTAAAAGATGGCCACTGCCTAAGGTTAGATTCAGTAATTTCCTTGTACTGGATTGCAATTTAGAGATATGTGCAGGGAAAGAATTTAATTTGCTTGACTGGAAAAGGGGAGATGATTACATTCTATCATTTTGAAGGCCTTTCTTGTAAGTTAATTATGCTTCTCCTTTCTCAACATCACATCCACCTGAAACAACTTAAGTCCAGGAATTATTTCCCTCAGAGTGTGTGGGCTGTCTCCAGCTTGCATGATGACTGGTTCATGGTGTGGGTGTGGTACTCATTTCCTGTGCAGTCTTTGTTCTATATACAACACGTGACAGCTTCCCAATAGATGACTTTATGTGCAACTTATACAAGCTGGATATGCAGTTGAGACTTCCTTGGAGCTCATGTAGGAGTTGTAAAATACAGCAGTAATTGTGGGAAGGCAGAAAAGAGCAAGTGGGGAGTCCTTCCACATGGGGCGAAGGAAAAGGAAGGGAAAACTCAGAGAAAGTTGCCTGTCTAAAGATGAAATAAGCTTCCCCACCTTCCCACCACCCCTCCTCCACCTCCCCCACCTCCCCCTGCTCTACCTCCCCCCATCTCCCCACCTGCTCTACCTTCTCCCTTTCTCCCTAACAGCAAAGAAAGAAGTGCTATAAAAGACTGGGCCAAACATTCAAGGAAATACTGTAAATCACTTGTGAGAGAAATAACAATGGCAGAGAAATATTTTCTTTTCTTCTTCTTTTTTTTTTTTTTTTTTTGAGACAGGGTTTCTCTTTATTGTTTTGGAGCCTGTCCTGGAACTCAAACTGTAGGCCAGGCTGGCCTCGTACTCACAGTGATTCACCTGCCTCTGCCTCCTAAGTGCTGGGATTAAAGGTGAGTGCCACCACCACCCGGCCAGAGAAATATTTTCAAGATCTGCTGTAAATTGTATGTATCTTGAATTCATTTAAAAAACAAATTATAAAAGAATGTAAAAATATACACAAAATATCAACATATTAGAAACTGTGGTTATCCCTGAATGTTGAAATTAAAGGTCGCTCTAACTTTCTTATTTTTGCTTACTTATATTTCAAAAATTTCTCTTACTATGTATCCTATTTTGGAACAGAAAACAAATGTTTAAAAACAAAGGAAGTATATCAAGCATAGTGGTACACCAGTACTTTGGAGGCTGAGACAGGAGGATTGTGAGTTCAATGGCCAGTTTGGGCTACATACTAAGACCCTAACTAAAAAACAAAGGGAGAGAGGGATCTGTTGAGCATCACTGGCCATGGGGGTCAAAGGTATGCAATTGTAGCTGAGGCAAGAGGATTGTTTGTTGCAGGCTAGCTTGGGCTACAAAGATAGGCCTTGCCTAAGATAGACAGAGAGGCATGGATGGACAAGCAGATAGATAAGAAATGGATGGATGATAGACAGACAGCTAGATAGATAGATAGATAGATAGATAGTTATATAGATAGATTTTTCTTTTAAACAGTCCAGTCCAGAGGGTTCCAAACCAGAAATTAAAAGATCACTTTAATGTTATAAAATCTCACTTTTATTCTAAAATTTTATATTTCAAGAATTATAATTGATATTGATAATTTTTAAAGTTGACATGGATAGTTTCCAAGTGCTTTAATCTTTGTAGGTTTTAAAGCAAACTTTAATCCATTCTTCAAAGAAAACCATTGGTTAATACATATGACATATATTTGCTTAAGCTGGTTCTAATAAGGTTGGATGTTAAAATACGAAAGTAAAAAATACGGCTCATGACAGCCAAAAGGAAGTCATGAGAGACTATATATACCCAGCTCTGAGGATTACATGTGCAGAATTCAAGCCAAAATAACAAGAAAATTGTTCAAATCGTGATGAATACAGTATTCCCCAACGTCCCTACGAGAAAAGTAATAGGAAAACCATAGGGAGGGGCAAGTCATTTTCAGAGGGACTCCACACGGCAATTTCACATGCAGGGGAAATATGCGGTTTGAGGTCCTGGCCATTCTCCTACTGGCCTCACGTGTGCTGCTTGTCTCGAGCTCTCTTAGCGAAGAGCTAAGCATTTGACAATACAGTGTGCATACACAACTATTAATTGTGGAGGACATACTTCTTAATAAAGAAAGGAACTAATAAGAAATCTCCCCAAATCATTTCAGATAGGTAATAGAAAATTCATTTAAGATGGTTTTAAAATCGTACTCACAGCAGTATTGTAGACACACTGCATCCTATTTCAGATTTGGCCTAAAAACAGAAAAGATCATTTGTACAAGCATTAAACTAAAGCTTTTTTTTTTTTTTTGCTAGATAACTATGTACTTACTGTTCTTGACTTAAGAGATTCATATCTTAAATATACAACCCAACATATTTCCTTACTCAGTCTTGGAAGTTTTGCTAAACTTAGAAGCAGTAAAAACTAAACTTGGGCACCAACTAGGAAACTTTTAGAATAACTGGTTAAAAATCAGTTCCATTGGTCCAGAAGGAATGACTGGCAGGCAGAGAACTCACACTCTCTTACCTGTTGCAGTCTTTCTGTGCTCATAGAGCTTTAGTGAGAGTTCTCTATAATTTGATAGCTCACATCTCTCAGCACTTTGTGGATGATACTAATCTTAAATCTGAAAGTACCCTCAAAGCACACTTCTTAAAAAGTCAACTTGGAGCAACCAGAAGACCTGAATTCAAATCAAGAATCTGCCACTAAAAAGCAAAAATCTTTTTTTGCATATGTTTACCATGCATGTGTGCACATACATGACACAATGGCCTCCATGCAGCAGTCAGAGGAAAACCTGGGGGAGTCAATTATCTTTCTCTACCATTAGGTTTCAGGGATTGAACTCAGATCAAGAGGATTGGCAGCAAGCACCCCCATCTGCTGGGCCATCTTGCAAGCTCCAATCTACATTTTATAGATTAAATCAATATTAAGTAAACAAGAGTATAAATTTAATGGATTAAACTCTCTACATCAAATAGTAATTAACAATTGTTCTTTTATTAATCTCTTTTATAATGAAATATTTCCTAGATATGATATATACGTATATGCAGACACGCATGGATAGAATGCATACTTAAAGGGTAAAGATAGAAATTTTCAGATTAACCATTCAGGAAACAAAACCTAGCTGGCTGTGAGAGCATGGGCTTTTAGCTCAGCCCTGGGAGCTCTAGGGCAGCCTGGGATACACAGGGAGATCCTATCTTTAAAAGTAAACAAAGTTTGAAAAAGAAACAAAGTAACAAAACCTCATCAATCCCACCAGGAATCCCACAGACCCCTTCTCCCCTAATTATTTCCCCCTTATTTATTCAGAAGTCTCTCTATAAATAGCTGCCCTAGAACTTGTGACCTCGTGTGTTATCTTGCCTGGCCTCTCCGCCACTGTTCAGAGTCACTGCTCTTGCATTGTAGCCTTGAACGATAATATCAGATTTTGAGAGGGTTGGAAGTTTGTCAAAGGGGCCACTATGGATTCTTTTGAAACTTACTTTCTCAAGCAAAACAGAGAATACAAGCTATCTGAGGAAACCCCAACAGCATTGTCTATATTAAAATAATATATCTTCAATTTCCCCTTTCTTTTATCCATTACTGTGATTACATTTAATTTTCCCCCTATCATGCCTCAGGGAAAGCAGGCCTGTTGAATTTTTTTAAGCATCCCACCTCTAATTTGGTGAGCTTCCTTTTCTGAATTTATATAGACAGCTTTTCCACTTAACACTAAGCAGCAACATGAATACTATTCATCAAGTAAAGAAAATCTCAGGTCTGGAGAAATCGGCTCCGTGCTTAAGAGAGGACCTAGGTTGGATTCCCAGCATCCATATGATGGTTCACAACTGTCTGCAGTTCTGGTCCCAGGAGATCTAGCATCCTCTTCTAGTCTCCATGGGCAGTAAACACACATGATGGACAGATATACATTAAGGCAAAACACCCATGCACATAAAAAAAAAATCCCAAACTTTAAAAAACTGAATTATAAATAAATGAAATGGAAATATTAAGTCAAATGTGGGTACATATTTGTAACTTCAGCACCCAGGAAGTAGAGGCATAGAGATCATAAGTTGGAAGCAAGCCTATGCTATGGAGTCGACTCATAAAGTTAAAAACCTAAACAAAGAAAATGTGTGTGTGGGTTAGGGTTAGGGTTAGGGGAGGGGATACTGCTGTCACAGTAAACAGTACAGGTGAAAAGCACAAGTAACTAAAATGACAATCCTATGTGCTGCTCTTTCAGCCAAGGTCCCACTGAACACTCAAGCTGTGCCACCTGCCTCCTTGTCAGGGCTTTAAACAGAAGTTTACCAGGCTGAATGTTCCATATTCTTCCCGGAGGAAATGTGTCAGGAACCCTCTCAACGTTGTCTGGTCTCCCCAAGTCCAGCGGGCGTGATTGAGGTAGGACGACACTGGCAGGTAGACATAGGGCAACAAGCCAGCCGAGAAGGCCAGAGTCAGCTTCAACAGAGAGCTAAAGGCAAGTTCCTGCACAGGAAGGAGCACACAGTGGGGGACTATTTATTTTAGCCCATTCATCCCGGAACTTCGAAAAACACATCAGGGGAAACATCAAATGTGTTTGCTTAAAGCTGATCTCTCAATTTATATTAAGTCACCACAGAATACTATGCTAAACCTTTTGATTACTGAGGATTACCAGAAAATTGCATCAGCCTGGATTCCTTTTTGTGGCAAACCCGAGTGGAGCAAATATTAGCAAAGACGTGTAAGTATCAAATGGCTGCATCTTTTACATTTAAACCATGTCATGACGTGCCGCATCGCACTGCTGAGATGACCTGCTTGGAAGTGAATGCATGTTATTTGGCCCCAACACTACTTCATCACTATCATTGGAAGTGTCTTTAACTGTACACTTCATTACGATTGATGTAATGTGATGACATAATTCTTTGGACAGTTCATGGGAAGTTTGGTGCAGACAAAGCTAGCTTTTATAGACCCCCTAGGTACCTCCACATTTCTCTCCTCTACGTTTAATGGAATACCAAAGGAATTTGCTGTTATGAGTAATCATGTTGTTTCATATGCTCTACCTAGAGGAACTCCTCACCTGCACATGTCTAAAACAAAACAATATGACAACAATTACAAAGATTAAGTCCAAACAATGTGAATTCTGGCATTCTAGAAACATTCGAGCCTTGTCTACTTTAATAACTGAGAAACGTGATCTCTTTCAAACATCATAATTGCAAACTGTCAACTTTTTCCCTTATAAAAATGAGAAATTTATCTGTGAAAATGATCTAAGAGCCAGGACTTGATCGGCAGCAGTAGAACAAGCAGCTGACTTCTCTTTGCATTTTCAAACAAGCATTCTTAATTGAAAGTGTTTTCTTATAGCACTGATCTCATTTGTGATTTCCACAGCACAAACGAGATGCATAAAAGTGATGGCAGGAAAGCGTGCATAACTACCTAATCTGACAACAGGCAGTTGCTAGTCTTAAAAGTGAGGCTTGGGAAGTGAATGTTTACAGTTTGGAGGCACTGCACATCATAAAGCTGAATTTAAAATGGAAAGAAACACTTAATATATTGTTTTCCTGTTGTCCAAGAAGTAAACAGGGAAAATTACATGAGGGTTGTTACAGATGGATGGGGCCGAGCTTCCCTGTCCTTGGCCGTACACTGTGATCACCTGACAGGGGTTTCTTCCACCTGCAAACACAGAATGGTTTGGTGGTGGAGTCAGGCTTCAATATGAATGTACATATGTACCTACACACACACACACACACACACACACACACACACACATTATCCATGTTCCCTTGACTTCTCTTCTGCTATATAATGGAAATGAAAGGGCTACATTGAAGAGTCACTGTTGCCCAAATCTGAGCACTCATCAGTAGACTAACCCAGGACAGAGCATAGTCCTTAGCCTAGGCTCTATAGTGTTAACTCCTGGGTCCTGAACATTTTACACAAATTATATGGCTTGCCTTCCAATAAAATAAACCGGGCTCCACTGAGGTCAGAAGTCTGAAAGTGGAACAGGCAGGGCTGCCTGTCTACCCCATCCAGGTCCCCAGATTCAGGAAAAGCAGATGTGCTGCCTCGGCTGTTGTCAAATTATACTTTTATGTTAACTCTTTGCCCTAAACTCATACGTTTTGGGATATAAACCTGGCTGGTTTCATACATTGGCCTCAAACTCTCATGCTTTCTGCTTCAGACTTCCAAATCCTGGGATTACAGCATGCATCATTAGATATAGCTATGTCTTCATCTATTATCCAAGACTTATATAAAAAACTTTCTGTGTACTCTAGTAAACCACTGTTAAACACAGAGACCTTGGGTCAAAGAACCAAACACCAGTAAATAACAATCTAAAAATATGCTGCTGGTTAAGCTGTTTAATATCCCCCTATGTAAGGACTTATATGATTGACGTCACTGAACTAAATTCTAAAATAAAGTTGTTCTTTGTCAACTATTGTTTCCTTTTTATAATCACATAATAAGAATTTTATAATCTCCACATTACCCTTTTTTGCTTTGTTACCAAGATGTGCTAAAGTATAGTAAATACAATTATTTAAAGCTTTAGTATAATTATTTCCTAATAATTTTATTATGTGCTTTATGTGTTTTCTATTATAATTCTGATTGTGGTTGGGTATAATTAACAAATAATGAGAAATAAATATCACTGAGTTTGTTAAAGAAACAATAAATAAAGTGACTGCTTTACAAATAAATAGCCTATAGTTCTAGAAGAACTCTGACAGAATTAAGGACATTTATCTTCCCATAGTTCATGACTAACTTACTCCCTGCCTTTTCCTACCTGAATCCCCTAGTGTCTAACAAAGAAAACTCTGCATTGCTTCTCTCTGCCATTTTAATTAACATTGTTTTCTTTCAGAAAAAGATAAAAAGGGGAAATGAGCGGTTTCCAATTATAAGGAGGAATTCTACAGATTCTGAGAAAATAGGACTCTCATTGCTGACTTCAATGAGTTCACACTAGCAGCGATGCTGTCTGTCTGTTGTGTTAGTCTCCAGCTCCTGGAGCAAGCAGGCAGCACAGACAGCACTCAACCCTTGAACGAAGGAATGAAGCATTGGTGCTTGACTGCCTTGAATCTTAGGACGTGCAAGAAAACCATTGAGGAAAGTTGATATTGCTGCTCTCAGTCCCTTCTGCCTCTTCTCACTGAGGTGCTGTCAAGAATCACGAGGAAAATTATGAAGTCGGCCAGATGCCACCACAATCAATATTGCATAATTCTGTAAATCCTCTTTTTAAAGTCAATATTGTCAAAGCCTCAGGTCATTTATGCTTTACATAAAACTCACGAAACATTAAAGTCCTAATTTTTCAGATAACACAAATGCTGAATTGAACCTATGTGAAATAGTATGGATTTTAATTTTTATAATAAAAAACCTACCTTCTCTTTCAGAAGTCTGAAGAGAATCCAGGGTATAATGCATAAAACATAGAGTACTATTGTGTGCTGATTACACAAGCTAAGGCCACAGGAGAAAGCACCAATGACTGCTATCTGAGAAAGAAAAAAGAAACACTAGTCAAAACTCCCCCTAAAACTCTAAACAGTAAAAGCCCACACTGCACCTGCAAAGCTTCTGTGTGCCAGGCCAGATTAGAGCCAAGTCCTGAGATGCAAGCACTCACGTTAGTCACTAATGTTTATCAGTAGTAGTTCTGGGTAATTTTTCCCCATTCTCATAAAACCCTCGAGTTTGACCTTAAGGCTGTTCACAGTGACTCCCGGAAAGCCCCTTACAATGGTGGGGTACTGTATAATCCCTAACTGAAATCTGTCATTGCAGTTGAGCAATTCTGCTGAACTACTAAATAAGTAAAACTTTATTTAGAACTTTGGTTATCTCGGAGGGGGCTTTCAGGTATTACTGAACCTGTAGTTGTCTCATAATTGATAAAGATGGTCTCTTTGACCACAATGAAGTTAGGTGCCTTCAAACTCTTCTCCACCATCCAATTGCAGTGAAATACCCACCTACACACCCCATCACCGCCCCTCATCTCACCAAGGCCTGCTCCCTCCTGAGAATCTCCTGAATTTGGTCTGGCCCAAATCCCCCTTTATCTTTATGTTTCCTGTCAGTAATCCTTGACTGATTCCCTGCCAGCTCCTTGGTTAGAAATTCCAACTTTTCTTTATATTTGGAGTTAAGTCTGCTACCATGGTCCCTATGGCTGAATCCAAGAAAGCCTGCTTGCATCCCTTAACAAGGACATGACATCACTTTTTTTTATCTTTAACACAGTCAGAAAAGAAGGTTGTTTTAAACAAAATACTCTAGTAGCACTGGAGATTTACGGGAACCACAAATAAACCATGGTATCTTTTGTTTCTGAACTCTAACAACAGGGTGGCCTGAACTAGGTATAGAGCCTAAGCACTTTAGAAGACAAGGCTTTCCTTTTAGATGACTGTGGCAGTGTGATCTCTGAACAACTTGGCTTTTTACATCTGATGCTCTACTTCTGGCTAAAAATAATCCATAACTGTGATTTTCCTTGTGATTAGTGAGGAATCAATGCACTACTACAGTATTGCTTTAAGGTATCCATCCACAGCTTGGCCTCACCACACACACACACACACACACACACACACACACACACACACACACTAGTGTATGAACCAAAGCCATCCCTCCCCCTCAGGACTCACTAGACATTTCATAATTCCCATTCTCTAAAACCTTCTGAACTCCTGAGGGGACAAAGTACCATGCTTGAGAGCTGCCATGGTTCCATTCCTAACAAAGGGTCTGAGGACAGTCTCTCTTCCTGCCTAGATTACCCTAATAGGAATCAGAATAGATAAATGTGGTCTAAAGCAAAGTTAAGAAGAAATACATTTCTTTCTAAAAATTGAAACAAAACTGATTTCACTTTGATCAAAATAGCTTACCTTTGATCTCTCCTTTGCGGCTGCTGCCTCCTCAAAACACACAGTAAGTGCCATGAGCAGCCCCACAAACAGATTGTTTAAGCTAAAAACCTCAGCTGCAATGGACCACTGCCATGTTAGGCGAGAAAATGAAAACACCCCCGCAGCAAGGATTCCTCCAGCATGTGAGCCAGAAAGCCTGCAAATACAGATAACATGAAATCTCCTTCCCAACAAAAGGAGCTGACTTCATTTTTCTTTCACAAACTCTACCGGCAGAAATTATGACAATCACCCAGCCCTCTCCCAACAACTATAACCAACACATTCTTCACATAAATCCACCAGATTTTAGTTAGGATGCCCACATGTCAACAAATGAACAAGCCTACAGACAGAATGAGGTTGAGTTCTCAGATCAAACTCTAGGACTGGAGCCAGGTCAGAAAACGTGGAGAGATAGCAACTACAGATAAACCTGCCATTTTCCTGAACATCCACACAGGAAGATGGCCTAGTTGAAACTGATATGTTTAACTGAAAATTTAATGAAATGACAAATCACCTATTCAGGAACATTCAGTTCTCACATCTTATGGATCTTAGGGCCTTCTATCTTATTACCCAATGTGAGACCAAGGAGGTCTTGGTCAAAGTACTAGATGATTTTAAGATCTTGCATAGCTATGTTCTTAATTTTTGTTTTTTGCTTTAAACAAAGATAAATTATATTTTTCTAAAGAGGCAGATGTGAATGTAAATTTCAAGAAACATAAAGAATTAAATGCTACTTTTGGAAACAAACTGCTCACTAAATGCCAACAAGAGCCATGAAGCGACCCCATGGGGACCCTGAATTTTAACTCAGAGATATGACTTGTGATTAGTAATATGACCAACACACTAGAGCATATCAGGCCAGAACAATTTTCACCTTGCTATAAATCTATAACTACAAAAATTAAAACGCTACTAAATATTGCAGGAGTTTTGGAAATATAGTGACTGAGTTTATCAATAGTATTAGGAAATCCAGTAACTATTGCTGAGTATTTCAACTGTATTAGGAAGTCCAGTAACCGTTACTAAGCCTAACAATTATGATATTAATTGCTCTAAGCCATCTGTTTTCAGATATTTTGTTTTGTACAAAAATTATGAAGTAGCCAGGTGATGTTAGCACACGCTTTTAATCCCAGCACTCAAGGAGGTAGAGGCAGGTAGATCTGAGTTTGAGGCCAACCTGGCCTACAGAGTGAATTCCAGGACAGCCAAGGCTACACAAGATGTCTCAGTGATTAAGAATGCTTACTGTTCTTCAAAAGGACCCAGGTTCAGTTCCCAGTATTCACATGGCTGCTCACAACCATCTCCAACTCCAGTTCCAAGGGCTCAGATGCAGGGTATCTGGCCTCCTCAAGTACTGCATGTGCATGGGGTACTGATACACATACAGGCAAAAAACTCATATGCATAAAATATAGATAATAAATCAATCTTAACAATTTCAATATCACAAGGGCTGGGATTTAGTTCAGTGGCAGAACACCTGCTTACTATGCACAAAGCTCCAAGTCTGACACATAAATAATGAAATTCAGTCTAATCAAACTTGTTTTCTAATTTCTATTTGTGATTGATTTCTGTTCTTTCTCTTATAAAAATCGGAATTTCTGACAGGTGGTGGTGGCGCATACTTTTAATCCCAGTACTTGGGAAGCAGAGGCAGGTGGATCTCTGTGAGTTCCAGGACAGCCTGGTCTACAGAGTGAGTTCCAGGACAGTTAGAGCTACACAGAGAAGCCCAGTTACAAAGTACTTTACAGGAAAAAAACAAAACAAAACAAAACAACAACACACACACACAAAAAGAACTCCCCATGTTGTTCAGAGTTTCTTGCTTTCCCAGAGACCCTGATTCAATACATACAGTTACTTCTTCCTTTTCAGTGAGTTTCCTACGTGTTCAGTACTTGTGGGTTGAATTCCTACTGTTTTAGATCTAATCACTTAATACTTAGCTTGCCTTCTGTTTTCCAATCCATTCTGTAATTTTATTATATCAAATTTCCTTAAAAACATATTCCTCATGACCACCAGGCTCCAAATTTCATGTTGTCAGAAATGAAGCAGCCTGGAATGCAACTTTCCAATAAACTGGATCCCATCCTCCCGCTAACACCAGCATTATGATCTGTGCTGAGTAGGTGTGTGCCTCAAAACTCCCTGATGTGACATGGCATTCCCTGCACCTGTTGTACTCCTAAATACAATGTTCTCCCCTCTCCTTCCTCTACATTAACATTTTACTCTTTACTCAAACTTCTCTTCGATTCTCAGGTCTCTAGTCCATCTCTGACTACCTCTATCATCCCACTGTCTGCATTTATATTAAAGGCACCTAGCTCCAAGCATGGAGAGAATGAATTAGCCTTAAAAGCATTCCTGTTTTTTTTTTTTTTTTTTTTTTTTTAAGCAATGTATGAAGTTGTGAATGGTTCACTTAATAGACAACATCATTCACATAATACCCAGCCCCTCAGGCTTCAGGAGAAAGGGACCAAGCTTCAAGCTGGCCTACCTAACTTCGTTGGTGGTATGGGAGTTAAACCAGGACCTCATGCACACCAGGCAAGCACTCTACCACTGACCCACACCCCCCAGCCCTCGGACCCACATTTCCTAAATCATTTCTCTAGTAAAACAACAGCTCTCCTACGCTTCTACCTTCCAGTAATACCACTAGCTGAGCATGCCTGGACCAAGTGTGTGACCCTGAATAGCCACCGTTTCAGTTGAGATTAAAGACTTACCACTTAGGGAAGAGGTTTCTTCTCCTGTCTTTCTAAATGAGTCCATATTCATCTTTGGGGGAGACACAGTCCCCAGAAAGTGGGTTTTGGTTTTTGAAACAGGGTCTCACTTATGTAGCCCAGGCTAACCTCAAACTCACCCTATCTTCCTCCATCTCCTAACTCCTGGGATTACAGGTGTGAGTCACTATAGCTGACTTTATTTCTACCATTTTAATGGAACTTACTTTCATCTATCAATTCAATTTCGGAAAGTTGTGGTAAGACACAGCATCCTTCTGCTTACAGCATAAATTAGCACACTGGGAGAAATGACAGATTCAAGGGTAAGGAACAAATTCATCTCTTAAAAGTTCTTTGAATATGCTAAGCAATAAGTGGGCAACTGAACTGAAAGATTTTTAAATGAAGTAGAAATGTCAATAAATTATGAAAAAGTGTTCACCACTGGCAAACTACAAATCAAGATTACAATGTGATTTCATCCCATCTGGCCAATATGACTATAATAAAAAAGAACAACAGATACTAGGAGATGAAGGTAAGAGGGCCCCTTATACTGTAGACAGGAATGTAAGTTATTACAGTCACTATAGAAAACAGTACAGAGGTTCCTCAAAACCTAGAACAGAGGTCAAAGTCTAAGACCATTGCACAACACCTAAGCTATGGAATCAGTCTACACACCTATCACTACATGAATGATAAAAAGAATATGGCTTATGTACCCAGTGTGTATTAATCAATCATAAAGAAGAATGAAGTCATGTTCTTGCAGAAACATTATGGGCCTGGGGCCACTATATTAAACAAAACAAGTCAAGTCCAGAAATATAAATACCACATTTTCTCATATGTAGAATTTTAGACTTAAATAATAAAAAAGACAGCCAGGCATGATGGTATACACATTGATAATCCTAGCACTCAGGAAGCAGAGGCAAGCAGACTTTAAGGCCAGCCTGGTCTACAAAGCAAACTCCAAGACAGCCAGGGCTACATAGAAAAACCCTGTCTCAATAAGTAAATAAATAAATAAATAAATAAATAAATAAATAAATAAATAAGTAAGTCTTGAAGCTAGAGGGGGAACTATTTGAAAGCTGTGTAGGGGACAGAAGAGAGTAATAAGGAAGGGTGAATAAGATCAAAATATACACTATACCTGCAAGACTGTCACTATAAAATCCATCATTATGTGCCATAAATATAATATGCCTGAAAGTTCTATAATTTCCTTTTTCAAATAAATTTGGAGCCAGACAAGTTAGGTTATTTTTCTATGGTCCTGTGGTAACTGATGGCTAGACCAGTGTTAACAATGTAGCAGACCTGTCTAGTGCTGCTATGCTGTGGGGTCAAAGAAAGGGTTTTAGTGTTAAATAATTTATTGTGAATTAATGATAAATTGTACTTTGATTAAATGTGTACCTTCTGGAATGCGGAACAAACTAGAATGAAGCTTTGATAGTTAATAGAATTGTGTCTGTTTTCACATTACATAGAAAAAACATACTATAAAGAAAAACTAAGTTACATTCCAAATATCTGTTGACAGGTTTCAGCCTACTTTTTCTGAAAGGAAAGTCTATCAAAGTTTAAAACCACCAGATGGAAAATTAAATAGAATTAAGAGAAAGCATTGATATCAGTAAACTCTAGGAAGAAAGACAAAGATTTCCTAATCTATAATGATTTTAAACCTATGTTGTTATACTCAAGGAGACAACCAATACATTGGAACTGCTGACATCAATTATTAGAATTATGCACTGTGCTAGTTATTTTTTCAAATATTTTGTAGGATTGAAATATTGAATAGAATAGAGTAAAATTATTGACTTCACTAAGTCAATGTAATGTATCCAGTCACCTTAGACTTACCTATGTTTGGGTACACTGACTTTTTATTCAAGATTAACCTCATGCCAGCAAAATCTGAGGACTCCCAACCTCAGATCAGGGTGGGTTTGCAATGTTCTGTATAGTCTTATCCTGGATTTTCCTTGATGTTAGAGAAATAATGTTTGAAACTGTTGAGTAAAGTTATAGACAAAACAGTAAGTACTTGCTATAAAAAACAGTGACAGAAATAAGATCTATAATCTTCACCTTTAGGATCCAAGGACTTTCTCAGAAGTCACATTATTGGGGCTGTACCTCTGAAGCAGCTGCACACAGAAGAGCAATGGGCCTTTAGTCTGTTTCTCAGCAGCAGAGTGGGAGCAGCTGCTCCATTCCCACTCCCATGAGCACCTATCATCCACCGTTTGTTGGGCTGTGTTGTTTTTGAGACAGGGTTTCTCTGTGTAGCCCTGGCTGCCCTGATCTTTAGATCAGGCTGGCCTGAACTCAGAGATCCACCTGCCTCTGCCTCCTGAGTACT